GGTTGCAATTCTGAATACATGCGAAAGCTAGTGATGGAAAACTTTCTATGGCAATTGAGACTCTTGCAAGATTCTTCAAAATTATCATACAGCTCTTCTGGTGACATCTTTAAACAATCCTTAAGAGATTTCATACTATAAGGCTTTAAATAGTAGGGTTTTAGATTGTAATATTCTGGACCGTAAGATTCTTGATCTTCATATTCAGACTTTTGTTCCTTACATATAGAGCATTCTCAATAACCATAAACTTTGTATTTAGTGTAAAGACATAAATTTTGAATGATATAAGAAATTATTTGTCCTCGCTTCTTATTGCGATTTCGAATAAAGGTATTTTCTCTATGTAAGGTTGGCATTGTTTTTTTCGATTGGGTAAGAAGTACATTTCCTGAAGTCAAGGTTGTTGTATTCCTTGAATGAACAATAGTAGTGAATGATCGAGTGGAAGAAGTAGTATTTTCCTTTTTTTCAACAGCTGCTGTTTTCAGTGTGTATCCGCGACGAGGATAATAAATTTCATCAAATTTATTTTTGTTATGGATTTCAGGTAGAGCTGCAGCCATTTCTTTCTCCCAAGAAAGTTTCGTATTTCGTGTGTTTTCTGTCGGCACATTTTTTCTTACATAGTCAAATGTGGGATTCCTGCAAAAAATGTCAGCATTTAATCGCTGGGCTTGAGATGGAGAAACTTTTGTGACTTCTTCCTCTGAATCATAACTATTCGAGTTTGTTTGTCCCATTTTGATTACGATGGCGTTTTTTTTATTTTCAAAAAAGCAAAAATGCGGAAGAAGGTTAATACATCAATCAGATTAGTCATTAAACTCATTTATTATTAATGTTATGTAACTCCGAACATATATTTGGACACAATGACAAACACGGAACTATTAAATATATCTTTAACAGTTTTTAAGAGAAAGGGATAAGAGATAACTTGTTTTGGTACATACAAAACAAAGTCAATAGTGCTATGTTGTCACGCAAATTACAGTATTAGTATACGCTAAACTAAAAATAAGACAACTGTGTGACGTTGTCACGCAGAACTAGGAACGTTAGGTATAGAGTCATAACTGAAACTAGTTTATCCATAGTTTCAACTTTATTTTTGTTGGATATTATATTTAATTTCATCAATTTCATTACGCAGCATTAGTTTCACCTACAACTCTGCATTTCACACTATGAATTTGCAGTGAAGTCGTTATTAATTAACTGTATGTTCTAATCACTAGATAGCGAAAACGTTCATAAACACTGACTTTAAAATTTGATTGAATTACTTATGGTGTTACGAAAAATAACGTAACCAAGTTATTAATTAAACTTTTCTTGCGTAATAATTTGATAGTATATTTGGTAATTAAGTAATGATCGAGTAATTACTATATTAACCTTTGTCGATCATTACGACATTTCGTAGATTAGCTCATATTTACCTTCGCATTGTTAGGATTGTTACCAATTCTTGCGTAATGATTTTCATAGCTTATTTGAGTTTAATAGAATGTATATAAATAGGGACATTCTTGGTAAATAAGGGCAGATTCTCTTTCTGCTCAAGTCGAATAAATAAGAAATTCCTTCTGCTTCGTTATTACTTGTTCGCTTATTATAAATACTTAATGCTTGCGACCATCGGTTAAATTGGCAGTATAAAAGGAAATCTCTCCCTTGTCGTAACAATGGTTATTCAACAAATGCATTTTTTAGTTAACAATGCTGTATTCTCATCTAAACTTCAATAAAAAATCCGATTAAAATAAATTAAAAATACGAAGATCCAGAAAATTTACATCAGCTCACTTAATTGCTTTAGTTAGATTTATGTATCTTTGCACACATCATTTCACTGTTAACGGACACTTCGTTCACATCATTCCTGATATAATTTTACTATACCAATACTGTATCAATAGAGTAAACCATAATATGATTTTTTGCATGAATTCAAATCAGGTGAAAATTCATATGATATAATACGTAAATCGATACTGTACCATAGGTTAAACAGAGAATAAAACAGGTAAAGCCAAGATGCATACTATATAAATCAAATAAATTCACATAACGATAACGATCGATAATGTATAATCGCACCACTATTCACATGTCAATGTATAAAAAAGTATGAAGTCACGAAGATAGATCATCCAATCAGATGAAAAGAAACATAACATTTCACTCACTAATAAACCATACTCTACGTACTTCCTCGTCGGAGGTACGTACGTATGTGTTTTATGTGATGTTTATTGTATTTTTATGCTGTTGTCGTGTTTTTATTATAGCAATCGAGTTTTACTTAAGCATATTCTCTTGAAGTGTAAGTCTTTTAATGCTTCACCGACAACAATTCACCGGCATGTTATTTCAACGACAGTTTATTTCACCGAAACCGACAAATAATCGTCATTGTCGTTAATGTTAGGTTAGAATTAGAGTTAAGGTTAGTAAAATTTTATAAACAAAATTTGTCTATGTAATGAGCTTCGGTTAAATATACTCGTCGACGAAATAATTGTCGGTTGAAATAAAATGTCGATGAATTTTTGTCGGTGAAATGTTATGTCTACAAAATGAGTGTCAGTGAAGTGATACGTATCCATTTCTTATTGTCGTAGTTGAAACCAGAAATGGTCTCTATTTAAAAATCTAAATACTATTAAAATCCACGTACATTCTTATTGTGATCCTAACTTTAGATTCGAACTTGAGAATAAAAAAAATGCACCCAAAAAAAATTTAGATAAATTAAGCACAATTTCGGCTTTGGTCGACACTTAAAAACATGTGATAATTATATAATATTATAATACTTAAATCTAGATTTAATTAGTTTAAATCGGGGTTAAATTGTTTTTTTTTTTTTTACAATTTCTAATTTTAGTTGTAAGTTATTGAACTCATAAAAGGTAATTATTCAGATGATATTGTCTCTTATTTTAATTATTTTACTTACAGTACATACATGTTTAAATATTATATGTACTAATCGAAAAATATTATAAAATTATTACGTATTTACTAATGATTTTCTATCAAGAGTAGTTGATTTTTTTAGACTTTTTACATCCATAATACATTTTTCGTAGTTAAAATTTATTGTTTCATTTCTATATAAAGATTTTCTTGCTTTCCTGGCTTTGTGCTTTCCTCTAATATATCAAAATTTTACTATGCTAAAACACCATGAAAAATGGCTCTTACGCAATCTTACCCTCCATAACTCTAATGTGGATCATAATTTTTTTTTGTACCCCAATTAGGGTCGTCTAAAGCCTTATAGTATTTTATACATGTCGCGTGACTTAATTTACAAATCGATTTCACTACTTAGGTTTTCCCTTACTTTTATTATGCTGAAATCTTATTTTATTAATTAATATGTTGAACAAACTTTCAAATTGATACGTACTGTTGGCCCTCTCAAAACTGGTATGCATGGTGGACGGGTTCTGTATCGGTTTTGAAAAAATCACATGATAAATGGTCGGAAATCAGCCAATCAATTTGCAGAATTGGTATATAAAAAATTTTTATCGAATTCGATCAGAAAAATTTAGCTCAAAGTTTTAAAAATTCAACAGTACTTAAATTATTAAAGCTATACAAAGATGATTTTTCGTCTTGCATTAAATGACATTCGAAATTTCAATCGGGTCAGATTTTTTTTTTTTGTTAATCTATGTAGCAAAGTTTTTATTTCTAAGGTTTTCTTGAAAAAGCATTTTACTTGTTCAGATCATTTCAAGTTCATTAACTTTTAAATCAGTTAAACATAAGGCATTATAAAACTATATTGAATTTAACCCTATCGGTAACTTTCAAAATATAAGAATGACTTGTAAATGTAA